TCCAAAAGCCCACGCCGCATTCCCGGATTATCGGGGGCTGTTGTCGCCCCTTCGCTGTCATGCCGGTGATCAGGGCGAAGTCCCCGAGGCTTATGTGCCCGCGGGGGCTGGCCCATCATTCCTCGGGCTTCTCCCCCCAGGGGGGTCCTGGGGGGGGGGCGACGTCCCCCCCCCGCTCGCTATCCCTGGGTGGGGCGCCCCTTCTTTAATAGCTCCCCGTTTCCCGCCCGGAGGACCCAGGCCAAACCAAAGGGGGACCCGTGCACAGCGCCCCGTTTGTGGTATGGGGAGGGGGGGGGGGGGGGGGGGGGGTGCGGACAGGAGGGTTTCGGTTGCTGGCGTTGTTTTTGCTGTCGCTGTTGTTGCTGCTGTTGGCTTCACCCGAAAATGTCTCCTGCCCTCTATCCAGCACCCTACGTTCTCTTCTAGTCAAGTCAAACAAACGAATCGCCGTCCGTCCTGTACAATAGTCCTAAGGCAACATAGTGTACCTAGTTGGTGCCTCAAAGTGAGGTTTCGCGTGGTGAGGACGAGAAGGTTGCTGAAAGATTAAACCGACGCTGATTCAAACGTTCCGCCGACTTACGCATCAGAGGTATCGAGATGAGAAGAGGAGTCTGCAGCAGGAAAACACCAGGATAATCTGCTGTCGGTACGCAAGCAAGACCCGATTGTTACGCTCCGTAGCCCCTAACGCTGCCGAGCTCCCTGCCCCTCGTGCCGTCACGGCTTTGTCGGCAGGGGTGGGGTCGATCTCTTCCCTCGAAAGGCAAGGGACGATGTTTGGCCACGTGGCCTAGGCAAGACAGTTACACCGTTTTCATCCCCACTCCCCATCACTGTTATTGATGTCACTGAGCCCCCTGCCTGCTCTCCCAAGTTCTCCATTACTCTCTAACCACCGATACTTCAGAGTCGCGTTAAAGCTGTCGGCACCATCTACAAATGTAACGAAGAAAGTCCGTTACCGCGTACCTTAGCGCCAATGTCCGCGATGTTGTTGTCGATGGCCCAGTGCTCGGTGATAGCGGCTCCAGTGGCGCCCCCCGCAACCCCGCACGCCGCCTTGAAGACCGAAGCGATGCAGATGAGACGCAAGAACCTTCCGCCCTCTCGGAAAGCGGGCAGAGGCGCCAGCATCTCGAGGGCGAGCCCGATGTCGTTTGAGGTGTCCGCGAATAATCGCCAGGTCTATCGTCGTATGGTGAGTACACATGGTTTGTGCCAGAAGATCCAGGGCGGAGGGTGGGGTGAGCATTAACCAATGAGATCAACGACGGTGGTTTACGGTGCTTGCGGCGAGAGAACGCCTATCTGCACTCTCGTGCAGCAGTACATCGGTTTGAAGCTCAGCGGTACAGAACACCGTACGGGATGATTCTCGGAACTGTGCGGCGTACTGGTTCTCCGCAAGCACAGCAGCACAAGTATTACCAAGTCGCAGCGTGAGAGTTCAAGAGCGAACACCAAAGGCAGCTATCTACCTTAATTGTCATTGATGTTGCCATTGTCTTCACGTTAGAGACCGTTCCGATTTCTGCTCAGTACCTTCAAAACATCCCTACCGTTCCAAACGACGCCGACGCTTTGTGTGGTCACACCCCTAAAAAACAAAGCATACTTTTCACTATATTTGTATGTGGTTTGTCACCTTGATATTGACGCCGAAGTTAGCTGACGCCACCGAGGTGAACAGGAGACCCCCGATCATGCTGGCACCTGAACATCAATTGTGCGCCGAACGCGGCAGTAGTAGAGGCCACAGCCGGAGGGTTACTGCGGCAGGCTCAGTAGAGGTTTGATCTACATTTCGGAAGGAACGGCAGCGGCTGCCATTGTAACGCCAACACGAGTGGGAACACAATTCTACTGTGTGCTACTGTTTCTACTATTCACTACTGACACAGACACTCCCTTACTGATATGCTGCGGATTCTACTGCCGCTTCTCCTTTTTCCATACTATGGCTGCTACCTCTCATGCTGCTGCTGAATGCACCGAAATCACACGTGCCGGGCGTGACCAAGACAAAGGAATCACCAGTGCAGAAGGGTAGACGTTGCTCCTACTCGGGGAAAAGACAAGATCCAACACGGCAAGAAACACCATCAAAGCCGAAACTCACCGTCTCGTGCCATCCACTGTAGCGTGGCGGCTAGGGGCGTCGAGCCTGCCCGACCTACACCCATGCCCTCCAACACCGCCTGTGTTGCTAGAACGCCCCGAAGGTGTGAGGACAGGTCCTGAGGAACGTCAGGGATTTGTCACCGAGGGGGGGGGGGGGGGGGGGCGTACCGACAAATCTGAGTCCAACACGATACCTGTGTGCACGTCCTGCGCCGCCACACTTGTTTCAGAGCTTGACTGTGCTTTTGTGCCATCACTAGGGTTAGCTGTGTGACACAAACAAATCAGCGGTGTGTGACAGGAGTCATGCCCCACACACAGCTCGCACAGTGCAACAACCATGAAAATACAACGTGCCGTATAATACAACAAGGCACCAACGTGTAGAACGACATATGGCAGATGACATACAGTGAGACTAAATTGGGCGCGAAAACGGGGCTTGCCACCGACACCTCACATGGTATGCGTTACAGCGATGTGTTTCGCCCACCTTCCAACAAGAATTGCTTACCGACAATATTTGCTTACGCCGGAGAGCAAGCACGGCCTAGGGGAGGCTTCCGAGCACACACTGAACAGCGGCCCTGACGTGCAAAATGGAGAGCCACACAAGACCACCGCTGCTGAACGTTGTACAGCCAATGTGCAATTTCGCCTACTACGGCCCCTACACCTGCTACGATATTGACGTATACGCACACCTGGCACTGGAGGTAACACGTGCAAAACTACAATAGCGACAGCGAAACGAGTACCAGGTACAACGCGATAGACCCGTGGGCACCCATCTCCCGCCCGCCGCCCCCGCCCTGTCGAAGCGAAGTCTTAGGACATAGTGCCTCCCACACATGCATATCCCACCTGAAGGATGTCCCAGCAGCGGTACCTCACGTACTCCGGCCGCACCGATCCCGGGTACCCCGCCGGCAGAAAGGTGTTCATCAGGCCTCCGCGCACCGCCACCCCGGCCCTTGCCACGCACGCTCCCGCCGCCGCCGCTGCGGCTCTCGTCTCTCTAGCAACTTCTTTTGTCGCCTTTGGTCCGACATCGGTGCGAGCACGATGATTACCGGCCAGGCGCGCCAGCAGGAAGGTGTGATTTGCTGCTAGAAGTTAATGCTAGTTGTGGGACGCATGTAGGCTTGGTCTGCACGCTTGGGGATGAAGAAAAGGGCCCTCTTCGGGCAAAGGGGTCCCGATGGAAGGTGTACCGAGGAGGGACCATGTACGCCACGACAAGGCCTGCTTATGACAGGATGAAGCTGTCTGAAGGAGACGAGCTTCAGCATGGATGGTGTTGTGGATACACTACTGTCACAAAGCTGTTCAATGACGCTTGGAAAATAGGAGCCAAGCACGTGCACGTGCTTCCATAGACCCTCGGATTGATCTGTCGTTGGGGGACACATGCCTGTTTTTCTATCGCCAAGGTCTTTAGCGGGCTTCAATTCAATAATTCATGTAAACGTGCCACTACAAGCGTTGATTTTCTCATTGCGCGCTTGCAACTGCACTTGACTAGGTCATACGACTGTGCGCGTCAGTCAAACAGTCAAAAAATCATGCTTTATTGGAAGCACGACGGACCAAAACACACGAAACAGGTGGTGACTTTCGAATATTTTTTCCCCACGCCCCCGCCACTATCACCACCCACGCTACTGTACCACTTCAGGCCGATCTATATACACAACACAATCGAAAAACGTCCTGATCTACGTCAGGTCTCGTATCACCTCGACAAGGCCCGTTTTCAAGTCCCCGGCACACCGTCGTACACCCTGCAGCACTCTTCGTGGCTCCGCGGAGGCGTTTGCGACGGCCGTGTTCTCCCGCGATGGTGGCGGTATTGTCGGCAGATGTGGTGGCGGTGATGGTGCTGTCGACGCCGGCAATTGCTGAGAGAACGAGGGGTTGAATGCGTCAGGGGCGCGGTGCACGGGTTGGAATAGTATCACAGAAACCAAGGACGGTAACAGCACTCAGGCCCCTAGTCTCGACCGGTGTGCCAAAGCTGTAGACGATCCCGCCTTCGCTGCCGTTACATCGACCCCATCGGCGCAGAGCCTTCGCAAACAACGCAGTAGTAGAATCGGGTAGGCAAGTGAAACCAGCCAAAGCAACGGCAGTCATGCGCAAACCAGGTACCATATTATTCCTCCCTCCAACGCTGAACTGCTGTGTCGTCCAAACCAATCGACGATATGTTAACTGTAGCTACAAGTAGGCGAGGTAGAGGTCAACGGAAAGGTGAAACGTGAACCTGTTTTTCGCACCGGCTCTTTTCGCTCAACAGCTAAACCAACTTCGAGGGTCCCGTCGGCAAGAACGCTGTAGCTGACCCTATCCTTGCTCCCGCCTGTTGCCGTTGAGCGCTCGGTCACGAGAGCAACCCCGCCAAAGGGTGTTCCTTCCTCCTCTGCCCCTGGCCAGGCCTCGCCCTCGCTGTCGGCGGCGCTGGCTCTGGTGGCAGTTGGAGTTTCCCGCTTCACTTTCTCTTCTTCCCCGCCGACGTGCAGAGCATCTCCCTCGTCACTCCCACCCCTCAGGCAGAAAACGCCACCCTTCTTGTGCCCCATTGTCGTCATTTCATTGGCGGTGGTGAAGGCGGCGATGGCGCACCGCTTCCGAACGCCCCTGCTGTACCCCGCCGGCAGCGGCGGGGAGAAGTTGCAGGAGGGCATCATGGAAGAACATGTCGTGGGACAGGAAGTGCCACTTTGTCCTTCGGCCAATGTGCGGCGGGGCGAGGAGAATGCAAGAACTCCAGTGCCGAGCCAGTTGTACGACGGCTGAGTCATGCTCACAAGCATCTAGAGAGGGCGGGAGAGAAAGAGGGCATGAAACGGATAGGCACAAGCAAAACGGCTCCGTAACACTACCACTTTACTCGGGACTGTCAGAGTGCGTCTGGGGAGTTCCGCCAAATCACATTCACTCCTACATTCTACCCACAACCGCGGGGTCCCGCCCTAACTCTCCGCACCGCCAGCCGCGGTACATGATGTAGTACAGCAGCGACACAAGCTCGCACCACAGCACGCACCAACCCACCAAGGGCGCCGAAGACAACACGCACGAACCTGTTCCACAACAGTCCGAGGAGAAGGCGCAGGCTTTTGCGTGACACTTCGCTGCCAAGGCTTCTCGACGTCCTTGGAACTGTTGTAGCTTTTTGCTTCGCTGCCGCCCGAGAGTCTCCTGCCTGCACACAACACACGGAACCCTTCTTCTCCCCGTGCTTGAACAAAGAAAGCGAGTCGTGGCGCTTCGTGAGGATGCACATATTCCCCGAGCGCACGTCCCTAGACGGGCTGGGGAGCGAACTCTTCAAGCTTGTATCCTACGGGGCCTCGCGCGAGCAGTGGGCAGAATGGCTCAGGGTGGCGCTGGAACACGCCGCTTCCCGCGGCAATCTGAGCCTCGTCGAGAGGCTGCTCCGAGCAGGGGCGGACGCCGGTTCGGGATGGCGGGGCTGCCGCTGCCGTACCCTGCTCGATGCCGCTGCACTTGGTGGGAATGCTGACGTCATGTCTGCCTTGATTCGAGGAGGGGCAGGGGCGGATGTAAACAAGGTAACGGTGTCGTCCCGGAGATCGGCGCTGTATACGGCGACGTGTTGTGGTCATGAAGCTGCTGCGAAACGGTTGATCCTCGCTGGATCAGACGTCAACTTTCGGGACCCCGTGGCAAAGTGCAGCGTTCTGAGCCAGGCCATTCAAGGCAGTCACACACAGTTCGTCGATGACCTGCTGATAGGTGGGGCCCGCCCAAACATCCGAGACGATTGCGGCATGGCCCCTCTCCAAGCGGCGGCTCTGTTTGCAGAAGAGGGCGTCGTCTCAGCTCTTCTTCTGGCGAAGGCAGACGTAAATGTAGGCCTTGGCAAGACGATGTACGAGACACCGCTGATGCTTGCTGTGAGACGGGGCCATCTAGCAATCGTAGAGACGCTGTTGGAGGCCGGGGCTGACTGCAGCCTTCGCCAATTGGAGGACTACTCGCCGCTTGACGTGGCCGCTGAGCAGGGGACACTCCCTGTCCTCGAAGCCATCCTGGGGCGGGGAGTTGACGTGGATGCCCAAGACCGTGCAGGTTGCACTGCCTTGCACACAGCTATCCTTTTTAGCGACCGGGCGGGGCCTGCGGTCCACATGCTAGTCAAAGCCAGGGCAGACACCGAGCTCAAGAGCGTCGGTGGCTGGACACCTCTTCATGCCGCCGCGGAACACCACCGGGTAAACTGCGTGGCAGCCCTGCTGCAGAACAACGCGTCCGTCAGGAACCGATTCGACGCCACCGGAGACACACCGTTGCACAGGGCTTGTGTTGAACAGCGGGAGGGGCTGGCAGCTTCCATAGACCTGCTGTTGAGGTGGGGAGCGGACGAGACCGCGCGGAACAAACGTGGGCGTACCCCCCTCGACGTTCTCGGTGCGACCCGAACCGACAACCCTCATTGCTCGCCCGACGAGGTGGACCGCGCTCGGCTGCTACTGGTTCGGGCCCCAACGGACAGGCGGTGGCGTCGCCGGGGCTGGCTGGTGGTTCTCCGATCACGCACCATCGTTGTTGCCCACAGATGCGCTAAGGGTGCGTCGGATAGCGGTTTGTCTCTGTGTCAAGCAAGACGCAATGGCAAGGGGGCCAGAATAGACGTTGCAGGGAACTCGAGCGGTGTGGTGGAGTTGCTGACGGAACTGGAGCCGGAAGCCGTGTTTCGCTCTGTCTTAGGGTTTTTATGAATGCAAGCTGGCGGCTGAAGCTCTACACGCCCGGTACGTTTGGCAGGCTGTTCACTCATGTATTTTTTACTATCCCGACAACCTCCAGCTTCCAGCGGTTGTGGTTGTGTTTTATTTTGAGGCACTTGTGGGTGATCCCCTATAGGTGAATCTCGCTGTATTTCTCATCGCGGAGTATGCGGTGGTGTACCTCCTTCTGCAGCATGGCAAGTCTTACCATGTGATGACGTTGGAATGCTAGGTTTGTATTCGTTCCATCAACGATTTACATATATTTCAACGGCATGATGTCTACTGTAGGTTCGGTTCGCGCGAAGTTGAGCTGTGCGTCTCGCTTGTCTAAAGAAGCTTTACATAGATTTGTCACAAGAGAAGCCCGGGTTGCGGTTCGTATGACGGGCACGGTTTCGTTATTGTTGGTGTTTGCGGAGGTCATCTCTTTGGCATGGAGTGCCTTTGTCTTCCCTGTTCTGGTTTTGTCGATGGGGAACAGGTGAGGGCAACCGTGCCGTTGAAACTATGTCGGATTCGCCACCCCACGCGTTGTATACGCTTTGTGCCAAAGCTATCTTGTTTGATGTTTCACCTGTTGGATAGACACGAACCTCTGCAGCCGCGTAGGGTGAAAAAGTGTGTCCTTTCCCGTAATGGTACGGAAGGTTGTGCACGTTTGAAGCAGCTTGGCATGTCTTGCTATCTTCTATTCGCTATGCTGATGCGTGAGTTGTCGAGCAGATCAAGCTTTGGTATATTGCCGGTAGTGTTTGACCTCCTTTGGTGGTCTGCCCTCGAAAATCCGCCTTTGGGTGTTTGCGTCGGAGTAAATGTGGAGATTCTTGGTCTGAAACACTTTCTCGGGACTCGAATCATGAAACAGAAGTAGCCTGGGAAAAGCCTGGTTCACCGGTGTTATTGCGGTTGGAAAATATTCTCCACCGCTCCTAGAGCGTACCATCATGCGTCCATCGTCGAACGCGGTAATATTAGCGTGGGACCGGATGGTGCCATCGAGCGGAACAACAGCAGTGGTCAATAGTATCATCAAATGAGGCATCCCAACATGGAGTAGTCATGGGCGTCAGCAAGTCCATCCATGACAGTCCGGGTCGTCACACAGTACGATGTACAGCGTTCATGTTCCATATCACCGTCAATGCATGTACACTCCAGACATGGTTGGATAGCGACTTTGCCTTGTTCATCAAAATCGGGCGAAAAAACGTTCAAAGGTTGGCAGGGGTATACTACCACGGTCATCCCTGGCTATCCTCGGTACAAACATCCGCCCCTTACAAAAAACAACTCGCAACGCCTGCAACCAAACATCCGCGTGAAGCTACCTGTTAAGCAATACAAAAAATACATGGACACAGCATCATAGGTCCAAAATAGTCAGCATCAACAATTCCCAAGAAATGAAACCTATCGTAGACTACCGAGGAGAGAACGCGCCGACGCCGTTACGGATGCTTCGAGCTGCACGCAGCCAACACACGAAAAAAACGACCCGTTGGGTCTGTCTCGAGCTCAAAACTACGGTCAAGGAAGAAAACAACGTCAGAAGTAGACGTCTCCCTGCTCTTGCGTGTCGAACTCGTCTAACATCGTGTCGTCTCCCCCGCTGACGGCGGCGGAAGCGGCGAGCGCTTCGTCCGTCTCGAGAAGCTTGTTCGCGGCCGCCAACTCGTTCTTGAGTGCCTGCTCCCTAGCTGCCGCCTCGCGCTTCTTCTCCACCACCTTCTTCAGCCGAGTGAAGTCCTCCCTGGGATTGTTGTCGCCCAAGATGCAAACGCGAAAGTCCATCAAGGAAAGACATGACGTTACCGGACGGAGAAAACAGTGGTGGTGGGCTACGTGAAACAGGTCCAGGTAAACCTGACTCTTCTCCATACAAGAATAATCAGTTTCAACGTCAACGGTGACCAACACTGACGCCGAACGTCGTCATGTGCTGGTTGTGATACAAGCAGGAAGAATTCCGTCCAATCCAACCTGGTCAACGCATGTGGCGAGAGTACACAATTCGATAGAAGATGATGTTTACGTACCAGTACAGAAACGATAGACGGAAGCAGTCTTCGCTCGATTTTCCGTACCAAGGACCGCGTCATCACGGGCAGAGGCATGCCCTACCCTACCCTCGCCACGCCACGAGCGGGAAAATGCACCATGCACGGCCCAATGCTGTAGCGTCTTGCTCTCTGCGCTACCCAAGTGGACTACAGGGCCGAGAAGCCCTAGCATCGACACCATCACACATTCTACTAATCAAGGGTTATCGCGACGCTTTTGGATTGTTGTGCGAGTAACAGAGACTACCGGCCGTTGTTGTCGAGCGGGGCAAAAGACATGACGAAACCTTCAGCAACAACAACCACCCACGCATACGTTTCTGTACTGCTGCCCCCACACGTAGCATGAAGCAACCAACGCAAAAATATTGCTGGCATTACCTCTCCAGCTCGTCCAGCTCCCTGTTGATGTAGCTGATTACTCCCTCCATTCGCGGGATCGTCACGTTTTCCAGCGCGTTAACGCGGCGGTTCGTTACCTGCCACCATTTGGGGGAGAAGGAGGAATCAATGACCAAAGCGAAAGAAATATCCCGGCGGGGGGGACGACAGACAGCGCCCAGTACAAGTACTACTAGAGCAAGCAGACCTTGAATCTCCGTAGAGCGCACAACCAAGCACAACACAACGCAGGCCAAGGGGGTCCCGTCCTCCGACATCCGACCAACGCGAGTGTAAGGACGGGTGGAACAGACCAGCACACCATCCCTTCTCTCCGAAAAACGCACAACAATCTCCTTAGCCAAGCAAAACAAACCGAGCATATGCTTCCTTCTATTTCAGCGTTAGACCTACCATGTCGGTACTGCAAGCCCGTTCATGTCATCCTCATGAAACGATCAAAAACAAGGGAAGCGCTGCCCCCATAACACAGCTTAGCCGAGTGATGGGAAACCGAAGGATACAAAGGGAGCCACCAGGACGTGAAAAAGCAAAGCACCGTTACCGTACCGGCGAAACACCGCGGTCAACACAGCAAACACGGCAAACCAGATCATCACCTAGAACCCACAAAAATCGTACCAGTTTCAGGCATGCGCACCTTGAGCGCCTCGTCCATGGTGACAAACGACGTCTGCAGGGACGCCAGCTTGATGAGGTTTTCCACCCAGGCCTTGTACTTGTCGCGGCACTGTCCCACCTTCTGCCCACCCCCGGCTAGACCGATGTTATCCTTGGCCTGGCGCGGTGTTCACGGAGGCGGTCCGAAGCCGTGCCCGCAACACAAAGGACACAAAAAACAAAAATGAGAACACAATAGGTTGCCGCGCACGGGGGGCGTGGGGCGTGAGGAAAGATCGCAGAGCCGATGAGGATACACCATGTGCGTCTAACTGGATCAACGAGAAGAAGCAATCGCTAGAACCTTAGCCGCTTCGATGGCACTCAGCGACAGCGCGGTCTTGAGTGAACTTGAAACCTCGACGAGGGAGCCTCGGATTCTATAAGACAAGAGTACTGCTGCAACAAGCAAAGAGGCTAGAACACCAATGCGTGCAGCAACAAACCGAGACCATACGAACCTCCGACCCGGTCTCGTACGACTCGAACACCGGAAGCTTGACGCCCGCTACGTTGTCTGTCCTAGCCCTGCACCGCACGGCCGCTGGCCGTGGAGTGTCTAGCACCTATCCGTTGAGCCATCCCAGAGGAGAGACACCGCCATGGAAGCAGCAGCAGCAGCAGTAGCAGCAGCACGAGACGCACACGCAAATGCAACAGCGACGGTTACTATCCCACTGTTGAAGAGGGGGGAAGAATTCATGTGGTGGAAGCGTGCAGGGTGGTGCTGTGGGTGTACATGCTACTTTAGTCGATATCGGAGAGAGCCCGTTTTCCATACCAGCGGTACAAGATTAACTGGTGCCTGGTCATCGTCAATGGACACGGTATCAACTTGAGTTGCCTAGGTTAAATGGTCAGGCGAGGTGTTGCAAGTCATGGCAATCACCAACACGAACGTCCGACGGCGATTGGAATATTTCAACCCGAAGAGGCGTCCGCTTGCAGCAGAAGGTACGCACACACTTCGGTTTTCAGCCGATGTACAGCAGTAACCTCGTTTCGACAACGTTCCAGAAGCAAGTGACCAGAAAACAGGCGATTTATGTGTCAACTGTTGGATCCCTAGACAGCTTTGGCTGTACTCAAGGGGTAACACCAATCCCCGGGCCCCCTTCCCCCGTACACTTGAAATACGCAATTACAAGTCGTTGAAAGCTCGTACCGCCCCCTCTTTTGCCTTCTACGCGATAAACACCGACTGGCCTACAGCAGTACTGCTGTACCACTTCTCGGGGTCAGCCGCTGTTGCAGGATTATCGTCAGCCGCTGTTGTTGCAGGACTACATCGTCCACCAAGTCAGCTACATAGTGCAATGGAACCCGTCAAGCTACGTACGCCGTCGCACCGGGGTAGACATCACAAGCGCGTGGCGATTAACCCCGTACCTTCCCACGGAAGTCTCCTGCGACATACTGCGCCGCTTGGGTGAGCGAAAAGAACGCGGTAGCGGCGTCTTCGCGCATGACCTGCTTCAGTTCGTGGATTTGTTTGGCAATTTTGCGGAATCGGGCCTGCCGATTTGGGGCGAGCAACACAAGAGGAACGGAGAAGTTTTACACAGAGACAGGCAGACAGCAACGACGACGTTCATGCGCGCGGCTTCAGCTTTCCGTTTAATCGGGTGAGACAAACAAAGCAGAGCATCGGGTCATAAAGTACATGTACAACGAACGCCCTCTGCGTGCTAAATAGAGCTCTCCGCATCAAAACCGAGATCGAACTGAAAAACCATGCACCACCTCCTTTCAAGAGAACTCAGCTTTGCGCGGAACCAATCTCATTCTGGGCAAGCGTCACAGCCAACACATTGGTCGTTTCCACGGGAGACGCGACCCTACCAAGCCAGCACATGTCTCCTCATCTCTATCACCCTCGTCCTACGTGACACGGCCCGGGCGCTGCAGGGAGTGCAGCAGAAGGGCAGAGGCACTCGCTCGGTCTGAACTCACCTTCAGCGCATCTGACTTCTTCTTGAGAAGCTCGTAGCCCTTCTTCGCGCCCAGAAGCTTCCCCTTGTACATTTGGAGCGCCATGCGCGTCGGCGCCACCTGTTGGGCGGACATGGTGACTGCTGTTTCTACGCGTACAGCGTCGCTGGAGCAATAGGAGTGCCCTGCTGCAGCAGTGCTACTGCGATTCCGAGCGGGGGGATCGGCAGACAGGTTGGAATTTGCAACACGGGGGGGGGGAATATGCGGCGGGATGAACACATGGAAAAAAAAAAATCTCAAAATCTCGCCTCTATGGCTGTGGGCTTGCGGCTGACCCACTTTCCTGTGTGTCTCGCCTGGTTCGAAGCCATCATGGGGATGTGAGTGTACGGGGTAGCTGGCTTCGGGGAAAGGTTCCTTGGGTATCTCCCCTGCTCCTTTGCCTCGATTGTGGTGGCTGTTCGTACGCGACGGTGTGTTTGAAGACGGTTGCGTTGTGGATGCCCGCCCTCTCGTGTCTCCCCCTGCAGCCTCGTGGCTCGCCTGGAAACGCTGCCCCCTGCTTTACTTACGCCGGCGTGGCTTCAGCAACAGCACAGCAGTCTACGGTTCCGATAGATTCTGCATGTGCAAGGATTTGCTGGTGCTTTGGTTGGTTTCCTTTCTCTTGCGCACAACTCTCAACCTGACAATGTCCCTCTCTGTCCCTCCTGCCCACACACAAACCACTTGCCTCCTGACGGCGAACAGCATCAAGTCGGGCAAGGTCGTTGTCCTGCTGGCCGGGCGCTACGCTGGTCGCAAGGCTATCGTGGTGAAGCCTTTCGACGAGGGCTCCGAGAACCGCAAGTTCGGCCACGCCATCGTGGCTGGCATCGACCGCTACCCTCGCAGGGTAAGAAACACAAGATTATATATGGAGAAAAACAACGGGTGGCATGCACACCGCTGCTGGTTGTTGGTAGGGTGGTACTCTCTTCCATGGGCGACTGCTGTGTCAAGCGTTTAGAAGACGGGATAACAGCACTTCGCAATCGATGCCCGTCTACTGCTGTCGCTTTGGTAGGGCAGCATGGAGGAAAGAAACGAAACCTGTTGGGACGATCTAAGTAGCACCCGGTGCGACAAAAGTCGTACGGGAGACACCACATCCGCTATTTGTACGGAAGAAACCATACCCCGTGTATCTCACAAATGGACACGGCAGCAATCGACGCTTCCGTACACAGCTGGAGAGATTTTCTTTTGGAGTGTTCTAGAGACAAAGGTAGTCGTTTGCGTTCCCTGGTGGAGAGGTTTGAAGGACATGGGCACGATTTTGGGCTGCAAATAATACATGTACCTTCTATCGATATTGCTGCTGTTATGTCGACGTGCGAAAATCAGTCCTAATGGGGATCCAGATGCAGCAGCAGTAAAGAGTCGAACTGTGCAACATCTCAATCTCATCAACATCACATCCCGTTCGACTGTGGGTATATCTCGATTGGGTAGTCTTTCTGTGTGTGTTTTTATTATTCCTTAATCCAACACGCGGTGTACGACAAATACGCAAATACGGCGCACGTGTCCCCCCCCCCCCTTAAAAAGAACCCAGGTTTTCGAGTGTGCCGGTTTTCCAGCTTCTTCGGCTTTTGATGCCCTTCGCGTTGAAATTCTTACTAGACGGACGCCGCCGTAGCCTCTGATCATACGACCAAACCAGAAACGGGTATACCCGGGTGTTTTATCACCATTTTAGGTTGCACTTAGACCTCAACATATAAAACACCCCCAGGCAGCCAGCTGATTGGCCGAAACACCATCGTACCCACTTTTGGAGAAACCTCCATCGGGTACAACCGGCGCTGGCATCTCGACCCTCTAGTGTAACCGATACTGGTTGCTATTGTACCCGGAAAGGGGTCGATTTTGTACCCAGAAATGGTCATATAATTCCGGCGCCCGACGACTCTAGCATCAAACCCGCAGAAAAACGTGTACCGCACATACACACCCACAATCAAATCACCAACAACGCTCGCTCGTTGATGGGCTATGGGCACCGCCTCCATGGGATACCGGTCCTTCTTGACAGAGGGTCGGACGCGCGAGTTCGTTCGGCGTGGTGCTGATCAGTAAAATTACACAGCGAGAGGACAGAGAGACGAAACGGGCACGACCTGCCTCATGCATAACACTTCTGAGGCACAGGACACAGCGGTTTATTGGTTTCGCTGCGATCTACGGCGCAGGCTGTCGGAGATTGGTGTCGTGTTGATTTCCAAGTGTACCCTGAAATGGTGAAAATCCACCCGGGTACCGTTTCTGGTTACTTCTCGTGCAACATCCCGCCCTGAAGTTGGACCAGCAGAAATCGGCGGTGGGCTATTTTATTTTTATTATTTGTCCATTCCGATAAGCCTTGCTCTCTTTTTGCTTTTTTCACCCTGCTGTCTTGCCGGTGTTCCGTTGATCCAAGCAGCGTATGTGTGTGTAATGCTCTCTCCTCGTTTTTCCTCTCGCCTATGCATTCGACCGGAATGTCACAACAGGTGACGAAGGCGATGAGCAAGGACAAGATCAAGAAGCGCACGAAGCTGAAGCCGTTCGTCAAGTACGTCAACGTCAACCACATCATGCCCACCCGGTAAGTCTTGGGACCTAAGTCACGCACGCTTTCTGTCTCCGACCGCACCTCCCCCAACTCCACTCGCCGCCCACCCCACCTCTATTTTGATTGACTCAAAGAGGGGGGGCTGGCAGGAGGTGTACCCTGGAAACTCGCAGTTTTTTGCGGTTGTCCGTATCGTCTAAATCGATGTTTCGTAACAAGGAGGAGGGTGTTGTTGTCAAGGAGATGCTTTCGTCGAAAGCATGGTTTTTCTTTGGCAAACGCACCCTGCCCTTTGTTGAGATAACGACCGCGACGATACGCTTTAACTACGAGCTTTGCGGTACACTATCCTACCGGTGAGAGGGGCGGGGAGTTGAAGGGCAGGAGAGAGAAGGCGTGGTCAGTGTGCGGCGACGCAGTCCCCGGTCATGAAACGGTTTTACCGTACCGTACATCCCCGCAAGAGACTCCCCCGCTCCACCTCACTCGGGTGATTATCCAGAGTCGATTGCACGAACAGAAAGAGAGGGTGGGTGTCATTACGCGAAAGCGCATCTTCGAAAAAATCGCGATCCTCAGTGAGCATTCCACGAATGTTTCCCTCGTCGAGATTTTTGCAGAGGGTACTCCTTCGTGTTTCACACCGCCCTCCCCTTCCTGTGGTGTATGTCGAGCTTGGATATTCGCTCACGTCAGTGGGTGGGTGGCGGTAGTCTCTTGTTGGATGTACGGCACACAAACCCTGATCCCACCCCCGAACACTTCACCGGGCCCAGTTGCCGTGTAGTAAAGGTGAAAGGGGTGGGGGTAGGGGGGTTCAACCTGTTCTTGGTCGTGAGCCTTTTGAGTGACGAGTGAAGCTGGTGCGCCTTTTTTTTGTGGTTTCTCTTTACAAGTATCTACAGCGATGCAAACGTCATGCTCGTTGCTGGAACGCATACAAATCCGGCCTGTTCCCGATGCGCGTCAAGCGGATCAGAATACGATATTTTGTTTTCAGTAAGTCCTAACTCGCTCGGGTCTTGAAGAGGCACAAACAAAATCTATCGCCTTTCCGTCGAAATCTCGACGTTGGCCGGGCTCGCCCTGCGTGCTGCGGTCAGCCCATCTGGGATAGTGTGTCTCGTGGATGCTGTTCCGGCCCAGCGTTTGATACGGTTATGTTCGGGTGACCTTTGCATCTCGATGGTCGTTGGTATGTCACGTTGGTTTCCACGTATGTTTATTTGTCCGGAGGTACGCGTACCTTTGGGGTTATTGGTCGCTCCGCCCAATTGACATGCCCAAACGAAGATCGGGCACATGGTGTCCTGAAGCCATGGCTTTGCGAAGCCGCATACGCAAGGGGTTGGAAACCTTTGTTTTCCCGCCGCACGAGAAATGGTGGATCTGGTCGCGTTCCCCTCGACATAAACATGTACCGTGAAATGAGCAGCGTTTGCAAGACACGAAAGAAAGCCGTCTCTGCAAAAGGCCAAGACACTTGCTGCACGCGCAAAAACCGAGCCCATTTCCGCGAAGAATGGTGTACAGTAGGTGTCCCGATATAGTGCCGGTATGTGTCCAGGCGATTTGACAGGCACTATTCAGAATTGTAAATCCCTCTATAGTGCCGGCTTGGCACTATTCAGGGCTGTTCGACTTCAGAGTGCAGCGCATGCGCTTTATGGGGCTGACAGAGTACCAATCGAACGGTATGTGGATCAATCGTGAGGTGGCCGACGTGGGCGGGCTTCAGTACGTTTCGTGAGGCTCTTGGACTGTCGAAAACACGGCATTGGTCACATTAAAATTAACTTGATTGACCAGATAGATTTGTTGCACAGCAGTGGCTCTTTTCCCACCTTAGCGCCAAGCACTCGCTAGTGAAGCGTTGCTGCTGCCTTTCAACCTTAGACCGTGCTGCCCGATAAAAAGTTCACCTCGCTATCAAATTATTATGTGTTGTTTTGCAAGAAGGCCGTAGCACTATTCAGGCAACTTCAAAGGCACCCCTCGACAGCGAAAGAAAGACGCTCATGTACGCACCCAATGTACACTTGGAGGTAAAACATGATTGGATGTAGTGCTCCTTACATGAGCACACAAAGGCAGATGCAACCTAAAAAAGGGGTGAAGAAGATAACGAACTCCCCTGTTTCTTCGATAAAAAGCTAGAGAGAACACCAAGCCTTCAAAAGCAAGAAAAACGACTGGCCAACCAAAGTACGGCAGTCTCAGTGCGATCAAAACGGAAAATATTTGTTTCTCAAGGCCGTGAGAGGGTGTCATGGAGGAGGCTGAGCTATTCTCTGGATAAAGACAGTAGAAATGGTAGCAACAGAGAGAAGAGAACTACGTGACTGCCAAGGCTTGCTATTTCGAACACGCGTTCGTTTGGGAGTGTTTTCATCCTTCCTCAGAAGTATTTTATTTACTACCACTACTACACTCTTCACTAATATCTTTCCGCTATTCTTCGGGCTTTCATCTCTAGATTCTGCGCCCCTGCGGCGTTTGTTGTGAGGAAGGTCATCTCGCTCGAAACTCTTGTTGTTCCCCTCAACGCCATATTTTCCTCCTGCATCATCACTGCTATCCTTGGCTATATTATCCGTATCCTTCGTCACTACCACCATCTTCCTTTTCGCTCGCCTCACTACTGAAATCCCAGCTTATTGGTGGAACCTGGTCGATCGGTATACCGTGACATTTGAAGACGTCACGAGTACCGAGAGAAACCGAGCTATACTTAAAGCTCGAAGGGAAACTGTCTCCGACTCCTGTTGGCGTGGAAGGCTTGAGGCGAAAAAAGGCTGTGTGTGGGGTCTGTTGACGGGTTCGATAGTGCCTGAACCGGCACTATAGCTGGCAGTCCTGAATAGTACCAAACCGGCACTATTCAGGCCTGTGTCTGTGTCGAGAATTTTTTCCGGCACTATATCGGGACACGTACTGTATCGTAAACCTCCCACCCTTTCCTCCCATAAAATGTGATGGATCAAATTCACATTTTCGGAAACATGGTGTTTTGGTTGTTAAATTTTTCTCGGCGTGGTAGTTTTTGAATAGAACCACGGCGGATGTTCCCGATGTGTAGATCCGACCGGCGGATTTCACCTGCAGACGTCTCGGGGCGACCGTGCCAAGAACAACCCTTGCAAGCCTTTTATTGTTCCCCCTCGTATTTTATCCAGTCTCGTTTTCGAAGAATGAAAAACGGCGGAATGGCGACACGAGACCGATACGTACAACTAGATTGGCTCATGATATTAACAGATGCGATGAACTCTCCCCTGAAAATCATAGCCAGTTCTTTTATTTTCTCTCACAAAACAATATAAACAGTTCTTTTACTTTCTTCCCACAAAAGGGTATGCTCTGCTGCCGGTAACGGAAAGACCTGTCCAAAACAGCCTCCTCACTGAGCCGGCTCCTTACTTGTGTCTCTGGCCTCTTTCGGGTTTCGAAGGGCGTCTTCTCTCTCGTCTCTTGTCTGCACCCAGTTTGGGCGGGGGTACGTCTTTTGCCTCCATCCACAACTCGTCGGTTAAGTTGCTTCGCGGTGGGCGATATGGTCGGAGAGATGGATGCTTGCAGGCACGTTTGATTGTTCGAATATACATCTTGGGCGCCCATGCCTTAGGCACACGTAAAAGAGCGCAGCTGTGTCGTCCCGGCAAGCGGTTAAGGTTCGGCCGCTCGAAAAGACGGCGCCAGCATCACCAGAGACCCTCGTTGATGATTGTCGAATGCTGTCGCCAGTCGAGCGATGCCAGTATCGGAATCGAAATGGCTGGACCGTTGTCTCTCTTCGCCCAGAAATTTTGTTACGCGATGGAGAAGCATGCACTTACAGCACAACTCACCCGTCTCTTGGCGCATAAATCGCGAGTTTCGGGGTGTGTGGTAATGGCTACGGCTTGAACACTCACGCACAAGAGGATACGTGTGCGTGGTCCACGTCACTGGCATCGCGCCCTTCTTGGTCCCGCCCCCCTTCCAAAGCCAATCCTGACGCTGCTCTCCTGGTACAGTGTCACCGCCTCCTCACGGTGTTGTGCTTACGAAGTGGACGTACCCATGGCAATGTCTTCAAGGGCACGAAGGAACCGAGAGGTGCCCACACCCGCAATCTACCGAGAACGGGCACAAGGCGCTCACTTCTCGTTTAGTAGTAAACAAAAAGTTTTACGGAACGATACAGATTGCGATGATGCCGCCGCCCTTCTCTTGGCCGCCCTCTTCACGGATCCATCAGGTACCAGGTGGACATCGACCTCAAGAAGGCCGTGGATGAGACTGCCATCAAGGCCTCCCCCACGGACGTTCGCAAGGCGGTGAGGAAGATCTTCGAGGAGAGGTACCTGAACCAGAAGGACGTCAAGTCCGAGAAGAAGGCCACCGGCGTCAAGTACTTCTTCGAGAAGCTCCGCTTCTGAGAGAAGAAAGTTTCGAGGAAGCTTCTCTCGTTGGGGGCGAAGCGAAGACTTTGGGATGCTTTGTTGGTGCCAAGTGTTTGCCTCGTTTTTGTGAGAGGAGTCTTCGTGTAGAAACTTGTCGTCAGGACTTCAAAACCGCGGGGTTTGACAACGGTGCTCCGTCTTTGATCTTTCGAGTCGCCGGTTAAGCGACAGCGTGACTTTTAGGGAGATGGCTCTGAGTTTGTGTAGGCCGTAGAGTCTTCGTTTCTTGAGCGACTGGCTTTGCCTTTTGCGTTTCGCAGTAAAGTTGTTGACGCTGTGCGCGCCGTACAGAGCGGAGCTGTTGCCTTGCGGCGTGCGGACTCTTCTCAAGCAGGGGAGGTTTTGTCGAGTTTGAGGTTTGATAGACGACGAATGAATCACGACACCAGGAAAAAAAAAATGTTTTGATGGACGCCGGTGCACCGGAAAGCTTGCGGTGGTGTGATCTTCATCCAGGCTTGGCCAGGTTTACACGAGAAGCTTGCCGTCGTGTCACCTTCATCCAAGCTTGGCCATGTTCACTCGAGCATCGATAGAGATCCCGAGGATCCTTCGCAATCACACCTCGGAAAGAGCAAAACGATGCATGACGCACAACCCTGTGATTCGTTTGTTGAATGCTTCTTTCAAGAAACGAACGGCAACTACGCATACTTTTGTCGTCTCTAGATGCTTCCCTAACAAATACGTGCCGTGTGCACATGCAAACCGTGCGAGAGGATGGCCTTGTCTCACGGTGCTCCCAGCGTTGAGACCAGACCCAGGCAACCATTCATCAAGTGACACATTGCGCATACATAGACCTCTCGACCATCACCTTCCCCTCTTTTGAGGCTGGGCCACATCACCAAACACCTTCTCGGCAGGGACACATGAGGTTGATCGATTGTAACCCCAAGTCAGCTCCGTTGTGCACCAACCCGTCCACACTCGTATTCAACTTTTTTTTTCATCTTTATCTTGCGGGAAAATTACACCTTCCAAGCTCTTGGGCAAGAGCCCCCCCGAGACAGGAATAGCGAAAAAACAAATGTTGAGCATAGGACTACGGCATCGCACGCTAGCGCCACTTCCGTACGGGCGATTTGGTGGCTCTCGCCATCACTCTCCTACAGCTACAGGAGAAATATGTCTCCCGCATTTACTTCAAACGGCCAATGTAAACCCACCTGTGGCTGGGAAGATCCTCATTTTCTCTAATAACGTGTCGCTGAGCCACGTTCATGCCGACCATCAGATCAGATCGTTATTCACCCCCCTGCGGACCCCCACATCAAAAGCCAGAGTGTGGCTGTGACCTCAACATGGCGGTTAGCCAGCAATGATTACTCATCAAGACCCTCAAGCACGACCGACCGCCTCCATGGTTCCCTAGGTCAACCGAGAGGCAGCACAGCAGTGTCTGCTGTGTACTTCTACTATATAATGTACACACACCGCCGTAGGACGCCCATCGCGAGGTGAGTCAGAGACTCCTTGTATCTACGCGTTCACGGCTGCAAGAGCAGCACTGGCGCACACACACACACACACGTAGCGTCCCCCATGCCGCCCCCTCACGGGGTCCCAGTTAATGGCATTAAAAAGAATTTTGTGTTTTAAACCGCAATGAGACTGACGTATTTTCCTTGGTCAGCCAGTTATCGCGGTCGATGGTAACAATATAATAATCAAGACACACACGTACGTGTGGTGACCAAACACCAAGCCGTCGTATTCCTGCGCAAGTGCTCACTAGCGAACCCATGTTAGTGTGTATAACCCAACCCTACGGAACTACCGGCTGGTGCGAGCCCTCTTGCTCGCAGACCCCGGGGACGCGGCGCTCGCACACCCCTCCCTCTTCTTGGCCGTGCCGGGGGGTGAGCCCCCCGCCTTCCCGTTGTTTCTCTGCCGAGTCGACGAGCCGGGGGAACAAGACGAAATCACCGCCGCCGCCGCCGCCGCCGCCTCCGCCGCCCGGGCTCTTCTTCCTACAGGGGTACCACTACCCCCCTTGCGATTTGACGAACTCCCCGGACCCGAGGAGCGGGGCGTTGCCGCCACCGCATCTCCGGGCGACGACGGCAAGGTGCTCGCAGTTGCCGTTACAGACGGCGACGCCGCCTCCACCACCGCCGCCGCCGAAGAACGCCTCCCGGGCGACCGCCTGGAGGGTGGCATCGCGGCGGTGGGGTCGGGTATCCGGGGCGCGTTCGAAACCGGCGGCTCTTCACCCGCTTCCACGCCTCCAGCGGCTACGGGCGCTGCGGCGGCCGCCGATACGCTCGGCGCAGCAGCAACGGAAACTCTCCCGCGGCT